CCCATTGGTTTCAACTAGTGTTCATCTCGGATTCGATTTCTACCATACGAAATCCAACCAGGAAAACTAGATAACTAAGTTCTAAACAGTAACAATCAGTCTATAATCTACCAGTCGAGTATAGAAACTTTGTTTCTATCGGCCAATTGAAGTACAAACATCAGAGTCAGTGAGACATCAATTTGTGTCGTTTTTTTTCAACGTCATTTTTAGGTATCAAAAACACAGTACAGGCAATACTGTAACCACATAACATCTAAGACTACATACATATACACACTCAAAAAAACAAAACAAATATATGTAACTCCTACTATTTTTATAACACTCACAAAGGAGATAAGCAGTTTATGCTGATAAGAAATGTACACACAAAACTGATCACATAATTGTTTACAAGAAAAATGTATTGATTTTCTAATGATAGTTGTATTGAAGCACTATATTAGAATATAATTTCATATCAGATAAGATTATTTGAAGTGATAGAAAGTGGTGAGAATAGGATGAAGTTTGTATATTTGTGGGGGTGCTTTCAGTTGCAATTTGTTTCCTATCTTTTCAGTGTTATTTCTTAATAACAGAAACTTCCTCTGTCTATTCACACAGATAGATAACAACCACTTTTATAGGTAATAGGTCTACTTACTAAGCATTGACCAGTGGGTTCGCAGTTTAAATTCCACCCCACCTACTGAGCAGTATCATTAGCCTTCGATTTGATGATATTATATAGTTGGAGGCAATCGGCAGGAAGCCTTCGACCGAAGTTTCGTGCTAGTTGGCACTCACCAATCATCAAGGCGTATCTGCAACCTTGTAGGAACTCATGTCCCTTCTGAGATTCGAACCCGCGTCACCCGGTGCTGCAGTCAGAGAGGTTACCGCTGAGCTATTCGGGCTCGCGATTCACCTCCTGTAGGACTGTACTAGGTAGTTTGATTGGACACTAGTAACTAGTGTGACGTATCCAGTCCTTTCTTTGGTGCAGACAGAATTCTGTCAGTCAGGTTTGCAATGTGGCCACCATTCTTGGTAGCTCGCCTGCCGATTGCCTCCAACTATTTAATATCATCAAACCAATGTGCACTGTGATGCCGAGCTACCTAGAATGGTGCTCACATTGCAAACCTGACTGATAGAATTCAGTCTGCACCGAAGAAAGGACTAGACAAGTCACACTAGTTACTAGTATCTAATCAAACTACTCACTAGCCTTCACTCAATACGTGTGGCTTACACTCTGGTACACAAAACACTAATCCTGTTAATCAGTTTTAACTAACAAACAAAAGTCACTGGATGATTCTGGCTGATATAAGATAAAGATGGTAAAGAATTAGAGGACGTCGAACCTAAACATGGCATCAGTTCAAGAAGTCTTTAATAGCTGAAGGTGTAGAATACCTGGTTAGGGTCCTCGAAACTCTAAGCAGCAATGATCGGGGATTGTTGATGGTATTGGCCTCCCCATAGATAACCTGATACGGTCGAGGATCGGTAGATTTAAGCATCGCTCTCGAGATCACGCGTTCATAGCCTCTGTCGGGTGTAGGTAGTCTTATTTCACTGACTGCACACAGTAGCGATGTTCCTCACAAACGTGAAAAGGCAAATGTGAACATCTGTTGCTTACATTTAAACCAGTGGACATACTGGCCTATTTAGAGGAACTGGCAAACCTTGGTTCCAAAACTATAATGTATATGGTCACCAGAATCCAAAGGGATGGAATAGTGAGTGAACCTGTTATGGTCATCTTGTGGATTAGAATTCAAGTCAAAGGTTCGGCCTTTTAAGACACCCACCTGCTTCGGTCTGAACATCAGGGCGAAATTTCGGTCCTCTCACAAACAATGTTAGTAATATGGCCTAAAGTCTTCCTTCATGGAGAAGATTCATTCGGCCTTTGTGACCTGCCACACTCACTAAATTCTGATTAGACTAGATGTAATTATTGTTTCTTCTGTGAATAATTGTTTATTATGGCTACTACACATTTCTTATCTCTTTATTTCCTAACTTTATGTGTAGTTTAATGAAATGCGGCAACTTGAACTGGAGTAAAGTTCTACGTTGTAAATCCACTTTAGTTTAGTCAGACGTTCAAAGCACAGTTTATTACTCCTAATTATATCAGTCCTCGTAGAAAAACATGAAACTATTCACAGACGTTGTACATGCATAGACGTGAACCACTATGGATGCTGAAATACCCTTTTACCTGATTTTTCTGAACTGAATAGCTGAATGATTATGCATATTAACCAAACTATTTGATGCACTGTAATCAACCTGGGATTTAAGGTCTGCGATTAAACTTCTGTAGTTGGCAGTGTCTTAGTTTCTTCTTGCCATAACTTCATATATGTATTCCATATAATGATGTAATGAGTGAATGGTTGAATGGCGAACAATAACTTAACAGTGCTAATGTCTACATTAATAACACCTGATTACACTATGAGCCACACTTAATATGTGAGGGGTAATGATATTATCAAATTCCTCAGGTTAAACAAGGTGGAATAGAGTTTGAACCTGGGATTACATTTGTCGAAAGATAAGGATCTGGTCCAACGGGTCATAATCTCACACTTTTCTGATTTCTTGTGTTCCAGGTGATCATATGGCTTTAAGCTGTGAAGTTTCAGAAGCGGTGTTGTTCTTTTTTACAGGATAGAGATGCTAGCCTGAAACGCCTAATCTTATTCATTTTTCGGACTTACTATTGGTTAGTAAACTGGGCGAGGGTAACGAGTACGTTGGTCGGGAGTCGAAACCACATCATGCTTGTGACTTACCAGCATTCTAAAAGTGAACCAATGAGCCATATCTCATAGGTACGTGCTAGTGTGTGTATCTTGGAGTTATTATTGACATTTTTAAGTATATATTTGTGTTATGTACGAGAAGTTACAAGATAATGCATCGAAGCTGTTCCATTTTACTCAAGATTGATATTCGCATCTTTTTGTGATTGCAGGCAGGATACAAAATTCACCACTTCTGTCATAAACAGGAGTGTAAACTAATCACACAGTTTTAAAAAAAAGCGAATTTGATTCAGTGTTTCACTAATTGACTCAAGTAGCCAGTTTGAGTTCTGAGTAATTGACTGGCTGAGTTTCAACAAAAAACTTTGCACAGAAGTGAACCAGTTCAACTTGCCATACTCCATGTACCATACAAAAGTAGATAAAAGGCAGACAAAAAGAGAACTACAATGAGCAGATAAGTGAGGGGGAAGAATAAGTAAGTAAAATGGAAAAACATGAAGAGTTAGTAGATCTGGAAGATCATAAAGAGTGAATGAATCTTCGCCATTGAGGAAGATTTCAAACCCTAGCGTCGACAATCCCTAACGACTGCTTTTAAGCATCCAGAGGACTCCCAACCAGACAGTCTGCACTTACTTAAATGGCTCAAACTAGCAGTTGAAGACTTTATTGATTGGGGTTAGGTTTTGGTTTGGCCATCCTTAACTTATTTCCAACTTATTCCTACGTCAGCGTGAAGTGAGTAACTCAGCTTACTGAGGTGAATCAACCCAGATGCACTACTGATGAGGCCGAATCTCGACGACGGATACGACCAGTCGGGATTTAGATCCCTTTCATTTGATTATCAAGTTCTACTGTCTGATATGAGTGGCCCTCAACTACGCATACTAATCGGTAGTTTATAGCAGCATCACAGTGTGTTTGTCGCTCTCCTCATTACCACTTATGGTATTAAGTAGATCAGATCAAATATATCATGATCTGAAAATTTTTATATCCCAAAGGAAATTGTGGCAACATCTCACCTCCGATTGTGTAATTTTGAAACGACGAATTCGATACTGCGTGTACCTACTAATGATAGTATGGACGGTTAACGGTAATCATGTTTTATTACCATTTTGATGAATGCTGTCATCACTCAAGGACAGATTAAGTGTGGAGTCACATGTGGGAAACACAACATCTTAAAGTTACTGAGCAATATGAAGACTAGACATAAACTGTATGATATGTAAAACAATAAACTATCCATATCAGTGTAAGGAATGAAAAGGCCTTTATGAAAACATGAACAGAGCATGAATACTCTGTAAGACCAAAAATGACGTAGGGGATTATTATTATTATTCCTTTGAGTTCCCAGGGGAAAGCATATCTCTCTATCACTATGTTCTCTGTAGTCCTCTTTAGCTGAATCTAATATTGCCTATAAGTTTTCATCTCCGCCTTGTACAATCTCCTCCATGTCACCCACGAACAACCCAACTCATCGTTTCCCATTCGGGTCTGGTGCGCAATGTAACTTTACGGTGCCCCTCAGTCTATGTCTGGTCCATCTCTATTTCTTCGGCAAATTTTTTTCAACGATGAGCTCCTGGTTGGTTCGTCCCAGAGTTCTCTGTTGCTTATCCTTTATGGTCATGTGATCTTCAGTATGGAGTGAAGACAGCTGTTGCCTATTCAAAACGCTTTTAATGGCGCTCACGTCAAGTCAATGAACCATATAGAAGAATTAATTGATTTGATATAGGTGTTAAAAATCTGAATCTTGTTCTTTATGCTTAGTGCAGTAGATTTACAGGACTTATTTGACATGAATAAAGCTCTCTCTCTCTCTGTCTTATCTTTCCGATCCTGGCTTTGACTTCGTCATCTGTTCCGCATGTAATTGAAACGATACTGCCAAGAGAAGTGAAGGAAATCAACTCGTTCGAATTTCCTTATACTTACTCTTGCCTTCGTTAAAAGAAGACACACATAGGGTGACTGGCCTTCCCAAAGCTTTTATCAGCCCGCATCATTCCGTCTGTCTGATTTCAACAAAGAATGAGTTTTTTTTAAAATAATTCTTGCTGTTTTTCTAGTTTTTGTAGCTATTGGGTTGATTTTCTGGGGGAAGAGTCACTGGTCACACGTCAAACCTCCCCTCTTTTGCCGTGTTTACAACCAGCTAGTAAACTGGGCGAAGTTGATGTAAAAAGAGTGCTGACTTACCTCATAAAAATAATCTCGTACAATAGTGAATAGACCACCAGCCATAGTAGGAGTTCTCAGCGGTTTACTGTGATCATCATCAAGTCTATCAATCTCTCTGTCACCAACACTTTCCCAATGAAAACTGAAATGCCAATCGAAAGAACCCCATGTACGATCAGAACCTGATTTAGATGAATCCAAAAAACACATTTTCAAAAATGTTGATTGATTATATTAATTATAAGGAAGGTATTAAATAATTTTATCATCTTAAAACATGATGCAGACGAACAAATAAGGATTACAGTTTTGAGCACAAATTGAAACCAGTTACATAACCATTAAAAACCACTAGAGACCACTGAACAGCTGTTTCATCCCTCCCTGAGACTCTTCAACAGTACGTAGCCATGACCTCACCAGCAGGTATCGAATCCAGGAACTTCAGGTTACAAAGCGAACTCGTTTATCGTTAAGCCGCTGGGATGGGATCCAGTAGTCCATTAATTTTAACTTCTGCCAATTCACAACATAACCGCTAGACAAAGTAGGACCATTACACCATGATTTTCAAAGGTTCTTTTAACTGGAGCCATTTCATGATCAAACTTGGAGACAATCAAATCCCTGCAGAAGAACACTTGAAAATTAGTCTACTGCTGAGTAGTGACTGACTAAAGGATAAAATTCCCTGAAGTTGTACTGGAAAGTCATGTTAAAGCAGTTCCATGAAGTTGTGCCTGAAGAGGAATACTCGCCGATAACATTGACTGATAATCACACTGTATACCATGAATTGTCGCAGAAGTGAGAATTGATGGGTCATTAGATTCCGTTCTAGTAGCTGAAATATCAACAAGTTCACCTTGTAACTTGAAGGCGCTCAGTTAAATGCTCAGTGGGGTCAAGGATGCGCCCTGTCGAAGAGTCTCAAACAAAGGCAAAACAGGTGTCCGATACTACCTGATTTACAACGGTCCGCTAACTGAAGATAATGTGCATATGTCCTATCCCTACCTTTTTCACAGACTGACGTACACAGAATCAGAATTAAAAGATGAAGGGATTGAAACATTTATATCTTAGTAAATGCAGAGAAAAAAATGTCGCATGGAAGATTTCATCACGAACTCACATTAGTGCATAAACGTAATCCCACTGAAGATTGAGACTAGAGACTTTAGGTCAAAAGACAAACATTACTATTTTAGTTAATGTGGCAGGATCCAATGACCCATCAATTCCAACGCATGTGAAGATCGTGGGTCTGATCCCTGGTGAGGTCATGGGGGGGGAGAGTACTAGTGAAGAGTCCCAAACTAGAACAAAACGAATGTCAATTAGTTTGTGAAATCAATCTAATCCCAACTTAGTGACATTTGAAAAAAGTTAAGTGTTCTGGTAATAAGCAGAATTAATTTACTTATGTCACTCATGCTTGTGTGAATCTAGTGCAACATCTGACAATCACCTGTCGTAAGAGATACGAAAACTCAATAGGCCGATATTGGTTACTCGAGTATGATTGAGTAATTCATACCATACCTACAGCATATCCAACGCAAAATTTACAGTTTTTACCAAAAATTGAATTAAATGCATTAATAACCATTTATTACTTCAGTTTCTATGCCCTTTGTGTTTAATATTATTCATTTATCGTCATCATCATCATCATTGCACTTGTAAATGTTTATATTATGTGGAAAAAATTATTATCCCCTATCCATCCCACCTTCGTTTCTGTACTCAATTCAATAATAAGTTTTTTACGAGTTTGGCCACGGATTGATATCAGTTAGAGAACCATTGAAAACCAGCACTGGAGTACTGGACAGCTGTTTCATCCTAGTTTGGAGATCATCACCACTACGCACCCACCGCCAGAGTTCGAACCCAGAACCTTCCAGTTACAAGGCAAACTGACTCGTATACCATTCAGCCGCTGGGACCAGATTCAATAGCCTGTCCATGAATTCGAACTTCTACCAATTCGTGATATAGCACGACCACCAACCAATGTAAAAAGAAATCTGATCCTTACAAACCAACTCTTAAAAATCAATAATAAGTGTAACTTTTTAATTTGTAGAATTAAAATGTGTAAAAAAATTAGACAGAGAGATGGAACACAACACTTGAAAATGAAATTATTGAGAAGGACATCTTTGTTGAAATTTATGCTTTCTGTCTATGAGTTGACTCCAAAGGTACATTTATAGCAAAAAATAGGATTGAGTATTTCCTCTGAGAACCACTCATTGCCATCGATTCAGACTGTAGATCTTCGTCAACTTTTATAATATTGAATAATTTACTCTCGTAAAACTCTTTTTCGAATCAGACATTGCCTTATTACCTCCGTATTGATAAGGGTAGATATCATTTTCATAATAAGAAAAAGTGGCAGTATCAGAATGTAAAAAAATGTGACATGGGAAACCGGATGGACAGTTGTCGAACTTGATGGCTGTCAAATTCGCAATTTACACAATTCGAAGTGATTACTTGAGAAATTCAGAATTAGACATCAGGTATTACTAGTTCACCCAATTTTTTTTCTTCACGTTTCCAGTGGAACATAGGGCCTCAAGCTAGTGGCTTAAAGTTTCTGTAGCAGTCTACATTTTACAGGATGTTGTTGCTAGCCTCATGGCCAACCTTTCCTCTTTACCAGCATTATTTCTGCCTTAGAGAGGTAAGGGAGTGTGTCGGCCGGTCATCGAACCCCGGATCATATGCATGGTCGGCGAGCGTCCTAACCGCTGTGCCACCGACGCACTATTCACCCAATTAGCTAGCCAAAGATATAGTGGTTTGAACTGATTTAGCTAGCTCTCTGAGCTGATTTGAACCAAGCAAACTACAGATGAGCTCAGCCGCATCATCACTTCGATGTGGCCAGCAAGCAGTACTTCCACTATACAGAGTAAATTTATTTCATAAAGTCTCAGTGTTATACAGTACTATTTATTACGTTTTGTTGACACGTTATTATAATAATACCTCATAATCATATCCAGGCACTCACAGAATATTACAACTTCGTTTATATACATGAGTAACGAAATGATTTGAAGTATGAATACACGAATGAATTAAAGGTTTTATTATATGAACTGACAACACTGGTCTTATTTCTCATCTTATCCCATTCACGTTTTCGGATGGACTTTATCTACCTATGATCTGTTTCACGCATGTCTATTGAAGTTTAGTTTTTCATTCATGCGTTGAATCAATTTGTTATTCATGTATATGAACGATGTTGGTAAGCTGTGTAACTGCCTTTGATATAGTTATGAGCAGCCATAAATTGTGCTCGAGAGGTTATCAGTAAATAATACTGTAAGACATTGTGATACTTTATCGAGTAAATTTACAATATTGGCTGATGTGATTGGTACATAACTACTAATTTCGATCACTCAGTAGTAGTATATAGTTTATCAATTGAAACCAGCAGACGTTACTTCATTGGTGGTGGTGGATGAGCTTTATGTCCCATTTGGAAAACATCATCTAGATATGCCTCCATTTCCGGTGAGTGACAGCATTCTTACTGAAACTTGAAGCCGGTATCCATCGTTTCAAGTATCCCACTAGCCCAGTTAGCCACGGCAGTTATTTTGAATATCCTGTTGATTGTTTAATATTGAACTAAAAGATTTGATCTCTTTAGACATTTAAGATTCTAGTACAGAGGCTTCAACAATAAACACCATGAGAGGAGAATAGTATTACTTAGCTGAATGAGGCATTTGACTTTCAACTAATGAGTCAAAGGTTTGAAATCCAACTCCACCTACCGACGTAAGAATAGTCAGATAGTATCATTAACCCATACAAACACATACACATACGCGCACACAAAAGACTTGGATGGTTGCCAAGTACACCAGCATGGGCTTGTGGTTGTTATACAACTAACTAACTCACTAACCATCTAAGGAAATCAGTAAAAAAAACACGTAGGTTAGCTTCTAAACTACTCAGTGATTAATTATCTTGTTTAAGTCAATCTTTGCTTTTCCTGCTGATTGATTTGATCAAAATGTTCATCTTCTGATGACATGTCGGCTCGTAGTATGGACGCTTCTACGATGTCTGTGTGTTATACAGACCTAATGTTTCTAAAATAATACATTTTTAAAATTTTATTATAGCTTGATTCCTTACAGTATGGAATTTTCAGTATCTGATATCCGTAGCCCAAATTTAACAGGCCAACCATTGATATTAGGTGTGCATCAGCCAGGGATCAAACATTGCACCAGGTGCATGGTCGGCCAGCGTCCTAACCACTGTACCACCGTCGCACAATGCTGTTTGTATTCCCCTCCACCTACGACCTTGGGATCCTATTGGCTGGTGACTCTTTTAACTTATCAGTGTAATTAGTTTCCCTCAAGGCTATTTAAAGTATACATATGTACTGATTCGAGACAGTAAAAACTATTTAAGTCACAAGGTCCGTCTTCTATCTTCTTGAGTCGCGGATTTGGTACCATCGTATCGCGTCGTTGTTATCGCTGATAGTGATTAGAACAGTAGGCTCGCAAATCGACTAGGTAGGAAGTTCGTTAGCACAAACCATAAAGTGTATTAACAATCATATCACACTGATGTTATGTTGTGGATACAGACTAGAAGTAGAATCCAGGATCGACATTTCATGCCATTTGGTAATCGTTAGCATCAATGTTAATCCCATATGTGATATAAATTTATTTTATATGACACAGTGATACAGTATTCATATCTAGATAATACTAGACAATAATAATAATAATAATAATAATAATAATAATAATAATCGTACCGTATCACTGTGTTATATAAAATAAACTTATTTAATATAGAATTATATCCTATGAGACTACCTAAATTCTATATGTACATTATTCAATGTTAATACCCGGACATCGTCAAAGTATCTGTATTAGGAGAAGCCCAACATTCCTGTTCAATTAGTCAGTGGGAAAAATGAAAGTTAACTTAAACAAATTAGTAACTTATCTACGATGCACAAAAGTTGGCTCAAGTAGTATAATGGATAACGCTTCAGCATTTGAAACGATTGGTACTGGGTTCGAGTCCCAGTGGGAAACACCACTGCTCATTGGTGATTGCACGTACATTCAGCCGACATTCAGCTCAAACAAGACAAAATTCGCATCTCCAATTCCGCTGCTATCGTCATCATCACTCAAATTGCTTCAAGTTAATTCTCAAACATCTCTAAAGCGTCCAGTTTAGGAACCTACGAGTCAACAGACGTCAAACATTTCGAGCCAATAAGTTAACAGGAAGAACAAAATTAAATTAAAAATAAATAATAATTATTGACATTCGTTACACAAGAGGTGGATCTCGTTGTTCAAGTGGTTTGATGAATAACGCTCTGGTGTTTGAAACGATGGGTCAAAAGTCTCATTGGGAGCATAATCACACATTGGAGATTGCACAATTCCCACAAAGGACAAAATGTGCATCCCGCAATTCCACTGCGCTAATTACCAGCAATCAAATAACATCAATGGAAAAAATATTATCAGCTCCAAAACTAAAAACTAAACTGATATATAAGAAGAAAAAAGAACCATTGACTTACCAAGTAGATATTCAAATGTATCATGATTAATAACATCAATAATAGGACAGACTATACGTTTAGGATTCTCAGAAATATGTACAAGTAGTGTTTCTAACCAACCAACAGTTACTTCACAATGTGCATCTAAAAATGTTAATGTTTTGCCTTTAGCAATTTTTGCGCCTTGTAATCTTGCACGTATAAGTCCACTACGATTATGCATTCGTTCAACGTGTACATGTTGATTTAACTTGTTTACATAACTATCTAATTGTTGACCTAAATGTTCTAGATTAAAAAGAATAATTAATAAATAAATATGTAAATATGTTAATGTATAAAAAATGTATATAAATGTATAACAAAAAATAATATTTTATGAGAACAAATTTTCTTCGAAAACAATTATTGTATAACTCATGACGTTATTTTTGGTAGATGGTGCGCCTTAGAAATGGAATCAAGAGCATGCCCATTTCGTCATATTTGGGACTCGTCAACTGGATATACTTGCAACCCCCAATGAGTGACAGTATATTCAGCCGACGAGAACCAAATAGGGCGAAACGCGTATGCCCTGGATTCTGCTGCTAGTCACATTCCACCACATAACATCAATGTTAATCCTCAGACAACGTCAAAATATATCCGTACTAAGAGACACGACATGTTAACAGAAGCCAAACATGTTGATCAAATCAATCATTGGGAAAAGCAAAAATTAACTTAGACCAACTACTCTATAATTCTTGTTTATTTAAACTCGATTAACCAAAACATTCATGGGTATATACACGTTTTATAATGCAAGACACTTTCATATTTCTGTTAACAGCTCTATACTATATTGGAGGATAAATACCTCATTTTATATCTTCTTGTGAATATACTCTAATTTAAACTCCCATCAGACCTAATTTTCAACTCAGAACTTCGCAAGAAAATACAGCGATTTAAGTTATCACACTTCATACAATACAGTCTCCTATTGGTTTGTAGCGTCATGATAATAATCCCAGACAGGCAGTCTTCAGTTCATTACATGACTCAAACCAACGGTTAAGAATTTCATACAATGATTCCCTTTTATAAATTTGAACAAAGAAAGAAGAAACATTGGTGCAGAATAATCTGGATCCATTTTTTCTTGACGGTTCTCATCATCTGCGTACAACCTGAATTCTTTAATAGAAATAAAAATGTGTACAGTTTTAACAAACTGTTGCCCTTTATTTTTCGCTTGACTTTCTTATGAGATAATTTTTCTTGATCTTCTGAGTTCTGCTCACTGTATTACATCATCAACTTCTCATCTGACATCATGTGCACCGAAATTTTGATCTCTTATCTAATTACGTAACTATTACTAATTTTCTTTTGTTACCACCCCAACAACACAACTGTTAATTAATTTTTTTTTCAAGAAACTTCTCTCTAACAAGATATATACATATATATGTCGTAACACTTTAGACACCTTGTAAATTGCAACGCTTAATTTCACTATGATGCTTGCTAATGGACAAAAGTTTGTTAAAATTGTACGCTTTTTTATTTTTATTTAAGAATTTAGGTTGTACGCAGCTGATGAGAACCGACGAAATAAAATGGAACAAGATTATTCTGCGCCAATGTTTCTTCTTTCTTTGTTCAAGTTGGGGATTTCATGGATTGATGCAAGGTTTTGTGTCGACGACGACTAACAATTTTTGCTAACCAAATCTCATGTCAGATAACATTAATGGCTCAACATGTGCAACACATTCGTTTCAGCTTCACAGCCTCGTCGATTGACTCTTTCTCTCTCTCATTACCTAACACTCTACACCGAATTTCAATACGATACCACCTAACATGAGGAAGTGAACGCAGATACTTATGGTCAAGAATGCCTAATTTCTTCATATCTTCCAATCTCAACGGCCATGCCTCACGACTGTAAGGAAGGACAGAGAGAATTCCTGCTCATTACACATGTCTAAACCAAAGATGACCAAGGCTGGTAAGTCCTACATGAGCTTATTTTATCCTTGCTGAGATTTTGTCAGCAATCAGTCCATTAAGACTGGTTCAACTTCCCAAATAAGTGTTGTCAACATACTCAATTACTTTCCTCCGTATTCTTAGACTAGGCGTAGGTGCAAACAATCTCGAAGTAACATCCAATATTTTACAGTAAAGACTAATGAGAATTACATTAGAAACTGTATTGGGGTACAGGTATAAGAAAGAATAATAACAGTCTGTTGGTTAACATTGTCAATTAAATACAAATAGAATGCACAATCATTCGGAACATACAATAAAATGTGGATAGACTATGAGAAGCTGCATGCTAATGCATTTATAATCAGGCAAATATAAGTTTCAGAGGGCTAGTTATCATCAGAAATGTCAGAGAAATATAAATACTACAAAAATATAAACAAACAAATAGGGTAGGCTGAATGTAAATTCAGACGATGACAAATAACAAATATAATGACAAAATAAATAAATAAATCAGTCATATAATGAATTGTAATCAGATATCAGGCGTCGGTGGCATAGCGGTTAGGACGCTCGCCGACCATGCACATGGTTCGAGGTTCGATCCCCGACCGACGCACTTCTTTACCTCTCTAAGCCAGAAATAATGCTGATAAAGAGGAAAGGTTGGCGATGAGGCTAGCAGCCCCATCCTGTAAAATAAATGATGCTACAGAAACATCAAGCCACTAGCTTGAAGCCCTATGTTGCACTAGGGAACGTGAAGGAAAAAAATCAGATATTAGAGACAAGATAAGCTTAGAGTAAATCACAAATTGCTAGCAGCTAGAATTCATGATCAATTGGGTCAGGTCCCAGTGGTTGCCTTGTAACAGGGAGGTTCTGAATTCAAATCCCGGTGCGGGTGCATACTGCCGATGAGTCCCAGTAGGGCACGAAACAAGTATTGAGTACTCCCTGGCTTTCAATGGTTCACTAACCAGTATCAACTCATGACCAGTCTTTCTGACCTCCTATATCTTTTTTAAATATCATGTTTTCCAATGTTACTATAATTTTGTCTGCACATTTTACCTCATTGTAGTTCTTTTGTAATTCTCTTTCATTTGTTTGAATTCCAAGTGGAACATAAAGGAGGCTACAAGCTTTGGATTTTCTGTACCAGTGGTGCTACTTTTATCACATAGGATTTCCAGTCTCACGCTGAACCCTTCCTCTTTCTTAGACTTACCACCAGTAAAGTTTGAGCGTGCATCGGCTGGGAGTTGAAACCGGACCACAAGTGTGGTTGGTGAACATTCAAACATTGAACCACGAACCACCAAAAACCTGATACGGTCGAGGGTGGGTGGACTCCAATTTTTCTCACAAAATGCTCTTATATCGTCACACATTATAACCTCTGTCAGATAAGTCCGTTCCACTGCCATGGCATTCTACAGTTATACCCTATAAGGAGGGAACATCTGAGACCCTGTCTACGTAGGATTCTTGATGAAGCAGGAATTGGAGTGGCATTTAAACCTACAAACTCACTCAGTCAGGACAAGCTCTGTAGGTTAAGACACTCTAATCATCTCATTAGACAAAATAATATAATTTACAAAATACCTTCCAATGACTGTGAGCTAAGTCAACTGCATAGGTCAGAGTAGTAGGTCGGTGGGTAATCAGAATGTCGGAACATAAGAATTTAGCTAAAGTAAGAATGGTTGACCCCGAGAAGATAAGTAATTTAGAAAAAAGCTCAGCGATTGCACTGCATTCATTGACACACAGACACACAATATGGTGTGAGAGGGTTAAAATTCTAAGAAGTAACATAGGTAGGTGGAGAGATAGGTTGGTTACTGAATCCTTGTTCATCGAGTCTACACCAAACACGTGCAAAAAGGATGACTCATCACTCATACCCGAAATATGGAAAATACTACTACCAATCAAGTCAAGCGATGGAGAATAATGGAATTATACAAATGAAGTTAGAAAGTTGTGCAAATAATGTCTTGATATGATTATGAGCAGCAATAAATTGTGTTCATAACGTCACTAGTAAATATTACTGTATAAACACTGTTAGGCTTTACCAATTAGCTGATAAAAGCAGTCATATTACTTGAGTGATTTCTTCTAATGAATCCTGTTTCTGTGCATACATACCTACTTTACACTTCAATTATGAAAAAGATGCAAATAAAATAGGGTATAAAAAAGCATCTAATTATGTCTGAGTACATAAACTTGTTTACTTAAGCATCATACCATAACTGTATCTTAGTCGTATTACAAAAGCCCTAGAATCGATAATGCAAACAACAGTGTACATAAAACACAGTGATTTATTTAAGTGCAGATTTCATCATGAAAAAAATACATCAGTTAGAATTAGAGAATGATTGAGAGTCAAGAAACACACTAGACATATTATTGTTCCCTTGGGTTCCTAGTGGAACATAGGGCTTCAACTGCACGTCTCCCTCCACTTGCTTCTGTCTTCCTTCTGCTGTGCTTTTCACCTGCACACATGTTAATCCATACTCTTTCAACTCCTCTTCACACGATCTCCACCATGTCACCCACCCTTGCACTGACGTCCCACTCGCCGCTTCCCTTTCGGGTTCCACTCGAGCAATGGCCTGACGCGCGCGCGATGTCACCAACCGGCCACCTCAGCGAGCGAGTGTCCAATACATCTCCACTTTCTCCTGCATATTTGTTGGTTGACAATTGGTTCTTGTTTCGTTTGTTTGTTCCCAGCCATAGTTTCTTGTTGGTGATTCTTTCCGGCCCAGCCATCTGATCTTCAGTATAGAGCCAGCGAAGACAGTTGTTGATAAAGGTCTGCAATAGCCAGCCTGTTGGAAATATTCTTTGTGACCCGCCCGCCAAGTTCATGGTCCGTATAGGAGAACTGACTTGACGTTGTTTGCATTGAAAATCCGACCGAATTTTTTTGTTGATGCTGGCTGAGTGACGAAGACTTCCAGGTTGATGAATGTGTTTCTCGCCTTCCCGACTCTCGATTTGACATCCTTTTCCGTTCTTCCTGTAGTTGAGACAATACTCCCTAAATAAGTGAATGAACCTCGCCTAGATTACTAGCTCGCTAGTTTTCTAGCCGGTCCCAAGCCCGGATAAAGAGGGAGGGTCGGGGCGTGGTGCTAGCAATTCCACCCCCAAAACTTAACCAAATTGGTGCAGAAACTTTAACGCATAAAAATAGATTAAAAATACTAAAAGTATACACTAGACATATTTTCCTCTTAATTTGAGACTCTTAAGCCGTACGCACTAGAGAA